GCACTTCAGCCTGGGCAACAAGAGGGAAACTCTGTCTCAAAAAGAAAAGAAAAGAAGAGAAAAGAAAAATAGTGCAGCCACTTTGGAAAACAGCTGGCAGTTCCTCAAAAGGTGAATCAGAGTTACCATATGACTTAGCAATCGCACATCTGGATATATACCCAAGACTAATGAAAATATGTATCACACAAAAATGTGTGCAAAAATATTGATAGCAGCATTATTCATAATAGCCTAAAAATGGAAATAACTAAAATATCCATCAACTCAATAATGAATTAAAAATATATGGTATTACCATGCAATGGAATATTTTGTTTGTTTTTTTTGAGACAATTTCACTCTGTCACTCAGGCTGGAGTGCAGTGGCGTGATCATGGCTCACTGCAACCTGGAACTCGTGGGCTCAAGAGATCCTCCTGCTTCAGTCTCCCAAGTAGCTAGGACTATAGGCACACACCACTAGGCCCAATTATTATTTTTTTATTTTTAGAGGTTGGGTCTCACTATGCTGCCTAGACTAGTCTCAAATTCCTGGGATCAAGCAATCCTCCCACCTCTGCATCCCAAAGAATTGGGATTATAGGCATGAGACACCACATCTGGTTTATAATGGAATATTATTTGACAATAAAAAGGAAGTTCTGATACATGCTACAACATAGATGAATCTAGAAATCATGATGCTAAGTGAAAGAAGTCAGTCACAAAAGGCCACATGTTTTATGATTCTCTTTACATGAACTGTCCAGAATAGGTAAATCCATGGATACAGAAGCAGATTAATGGTTGCCTAGGGCTGAGGATTAGACGGGAGGCAGAGCAGATGGGAGAGCGACTGCTATCAAGTACTGATGCTAATGGTTTCTTTTGGGGATGATGAAAATATTCTAAAATCCATTGTGGCAACAGTTGCACAACTCTGTGGATACACGGAAAGCCACTGAATTGTACACTATAAATGAGTGAATAGAATGGTATGTTAATTACATCTCAATAAAGCTTTTTTTTTTTTTTTCCAGAAAAATCAGGGTAAACGTTATCTCAGGTGAAGGAAGGCAGGAGATGGGATGGTAAAGAAGTTCACAGGGGAAAACAGGTTATTATCAATGTTCCAGTTCTTGTGTCAGATTGCTGACTCCACATATTTTTATTGTTATATAAAAATAAATACACACAGGGCCAGGCATGGTGGCTCACACCTGTTATCCCAGCACTTTGGGAGGCTGAAGTGGGAAGATCACTTCAGCCCAGGAGTTCGAGACCAGCCTAGGCAACATAGTGAGACCCCTCTCTACAAAAAATATTTTTCAAAATTAGCCACCCACGTGTCATGCATCTGTAGTCTTAGCTACTTGGGAGACTGAGGCAGGAGGATTACTTGGGCCCAGAAGTTTCAGGATGCAGTAAGCTATGATCACACCACTGCACTCCAGCCTGGGCAATGGAGCAAGACCAAGTCTCTTAAAAAAAAAAAAAAAAAACCCACACAAACATAAAGCAAGGTAATCATGGACAACAATAAGAATGTGTCACAGATGAAGCGATTCTGTGCACCTGAGATGGAGCAGGATGAACGGCTAACTGCAGAGAGTGGTCAGGACAGTCCTCTCTGGGGAGCCTGTTTGAGCTGAGGCTAGGATGAGGAGGTGCTCCAGCCCCTGTTGGGATGGGGGTGAAAAGTGTTCCAGGCAGAGGAGATAGCATGAATGAGGGCCCTGAGGTACGCCCAAGCCTGTTGTGTTTGGGGGACAGCCAGTTTAAATGCCTGTTCTGTGGCTGGGCACAGTAGCTCACGCCTGTGATCCCAGCACTTTGGGAGGCCAAGGCAGGTGGATTGCTTGAGGCCAGGAGTTTGAGACCAGCTTGGCCAACATGGGCAAAACCCTGACGCTACTAAAAATAAAAAAATAAGCTCGGCGTGGTGGTGGGTGCCTGTAATCCCATCTATTTAGGAGGCTGAGGCAGGAGAATATATGAATATATTATTCCCACACTTTAGAGGCTTAACAAAGCCAACAGCTACTATGTCATAGTTTCTGTCGGTCATGAATCCAGGCAGTTTAGTTGCATGGTTCCGGCTCAGGGTCATCTGTGAGGTTGCAGTTAAGACACTGGCTAGGGCTGCAGTCATCTGAAGACCTGACTGGGGCTAGAGGATCTGATTCCACAATGGGTTACTCAGATGGTTTTTGGAAGTAGGTCTCAGTTCCTTGGTGGTGTTGGCAGGAGGCTTCAGTTCCTCACCACATAGACCTTTCCATAGGCTGCTTGAGTGCCCTCACATGAAAGCTGACTTCTCCCAGAATAAATGATACAAAATAAGACAGCCAGGAGGAAAACATAGAGCCTTTTATGTCCAGTCTTAGATGTCACATACCAGCATTTCTTCTGTCATATTCTATTAGTTAGAGGCAAGTTCACACTTAACTGGGGAAGGGGAAGAGGAATTAGGCTCTTCCTGTTGAAGGAAGGAACATTAAATAATTTATGACCTTTTTTTTTTTTTTTTGAGATGGAGTTTCGCGCTTGTTGCAGGCTGAGTGGAATGGCGAGATCTTGGCTCACTGCAATCTCCACCTCCCAGGTTCAAGCGATTTTCCTCCCTCAGCCTCCTGAATAGCTGGGATTACAGGCATGTGCCACCACGCCCAGCTAATGTTTTGTATTTTTTCTCACTGCTGAGAATAAAGAGTGAAGCCCTGGTCAAAATCAGTCTGGCAGTGAGAAGCGTAGGTACTCTTCAGATACACTGGAATAATAATAGCAGCAGCAGCTGCAGGATCAGAGACACATCTTTGAGAGGCCAAGAGCACTGAAAAGATGATGGTGCCTATCATACATCATTTAAAATAAAATAAATATTAAATGAGAAAATTTTTAAGGTGTTGATAATTCCAAGAAGACTTTTATTTGTCTCATGATCGTTACTTTGATTCCTTTTCTGAAATGTTAGAGCCGTCCCCACCCTGTCCTTTTTTTTTTTTTTTCATTAAGTGGATTTATCTGGGTTGCTGGTGACCTTCGTAGTGTAATAACTATCGGGAAATCTAGTTTCTCGTAGCTTTTTTTTTTTTTTTTTTTCTGAGACTGGGTCTCACTCTGTCACCCAAGCTGGGCTGCAGTGCCTCCTGGGTTCAAGTGATTCTCCTGCCTCAGCCTCCCCAGTAGCTGGGATTACAGGCACAGGCCACGACGCCCGGTTCATTTTTTAGTAGCCAGGTGGGGTGGTCTGTGTCTTTTTAGTAGAGACAAGGTTTCACCATGTTGGCCAGGCTGATCTTACTTCTGACCTCAAATGATCCACGCGCCTTTGCCTCCCAAAGTGCTGGGAATTACAGGTATGAGTCACCGCGCCCGGTCAATCATAAGTTTTATTGAACATTCACTAGGTATTAGGATGTGTTTACACGCATTAATCCATTTAATCTGTAAAACCACCATGTGAGGGAGAAACTGCATTTTCTCCATTTTCAGGATAAGCAAAAGGAGGCACTGAGATGTGAAACACAGGAAGTGTGACTCCATCGGGTAGACTACCCAGAATGCAGATGTAGAGGTTTCACACGTAGGAATTTCCAGATCTCAGCTTCTAATAAGGCAGAGGGACCGTTTAGGCGGGAGCAGAGCCTTCTCTTTCCGAGAGCCCTGTGCCTTTAAGAGTTGCCCCCTCCTTTCACGGATGCTCCAATTACTTTCTCCCACCACCCCCACCCCGAGCCCCGCCACCCAGAGCATCACCCCGCCCCCCGTGCCGCGGAGCCGCACCTCGGTCCTTCCTCCCCGCCCCACACCCACAGGCTCGGCTCCTGGCCTTCGCTCGTCCAGAAGTGGGTGAGCTGTACCGCCAGAGGCGCATTCTCCCGGCCCCAAACCGTGCCCGCTACGCCCCAGCGGAATGCCACCTTGGAGACCCTAATCCGGACACCTCCCAGCTCCTGCTTCCCGAGGGCGAGGCCTCAGCACCCCCTCCCATCGCCCAAGCTCAGGACGCCGTGAAGGTGACCTCCCCCAGGGGCGGCACACACCCGGTGGTGCCCGAACGGGCTCACACGTGGTGAGCCGGGAGCGCGCGGCCCCTCCCCGCCACGCGCCTAGTGCCTGCCACCAGGCCACGCCCCCAGGACTGGCTCCGCCCGTGCCCCTGCACGCTTCTCTAGGCTTGGGAGGAGCGACGCGCCCAAGTCAGGCACCGCGCAGGCTACGGGGTGGGGTAGGACCTGGGAATGGCGCACCCTGGCATCCTCGAATGTTGCCCGCGGTTTGTGAAAAGCGGGAAGTCCGCCCAGCTCAGAACCTTTGGCTGGCAGGCGAGGTGCCCTGGCCGTGCTGAGCAAGGGAGGGAAAGCTGGGACCGCGAGCCTAGGAATCCGGTCCTAGTCTGTGTCTCCTCGGTGTTTCCTGTTTAGAAAGTGGGCATCATATTATATTCCCTTCTTCCTGGGGATTATTGTGGAGCCTCAAACGGCATTAAATATACATACATACATACATATATATATATATATATATATATATATATATATGAGAAAGGGATTCTTTCATTGGGTCCATAATCATTTGCTGGTCCCATATGTGGTTGGATCCTGTGTGTAGTAGGCAGGAACAACATCTAAGACAACCTGAGTCCGTCTTCTAAGAAGCTTTCCTAGTCTTGGTTCCCGCAAATTCTCTTCTGGGACGGTCGGAAAAGACGTCCCTGAAAGAGGAAAGGGCGGAAATCCTACCTGGCAGCAGGTGTCTCGGAATGAGCTAAAATGTAAAAGGCAACGCGGAGCAGGGACAAGCGTCCAGAACCAGATGGGAGGCAGGCTCGGCGTCCCCTACCCTTCCTCCAACCCCGAACCTAAGAAAAGAAACCGATCTCGCCGGTGTCCCCCAATCCCAGCCGCGAGACCGCCCAGCCCCGCAGCCCGAGCCCCGCCCCGCTCCGGCGGCCAGCGATTGGGAGATGCAAATACCGGCTTCTCTGCCCAGCAACGGGTGACGCGACGCCCGAGCGCGAGGCGTGGCCCGGCCGCAGCCCAAGCGGGCACCTCGGTGTTTACACGGGGCGGCCCCGCGCGCGCCGCAGCGGCCCGCAGACGGCGAGGGGGAGGGGTGGCGCGCGCGCCGGCGGGGCCGCGCGGGGAGAAAGACACTGAAAGGCGTCGGCGGCGGGGCGGGGAGCGGCGCGCGCGGGCCGCGGCGGAGCCCGAGGCTGCAAGAAGAGCCCGCGGGGGCCCGAAGGGTGCAATTCCTTCGCCCCCGCAAAACAATGTGTGTTGTGCGCCGGGACGCAACTTGCCGGAGGCGGCGGGGGCGCGCCGAGCCCGCCTGAGACCGCGCTGACCTTCTCCCCCCGCCGTCCGTTGGGCCCAAGCGCCCAGCTCCTCTCTCCCCAGCTCGCGGGGGCCGGGCCGAGCCGCGGGGCGGGGCCGCCCCTCCGTCGCCGCTGCCTCCTCCCCCACCCCCAGCCGCGGAGGATGCGGACGGCCCCCGGCGGCGTCTAGCGGCCCCGGGCCCAGGCGCGATGGTGCAGCAGCGGGGCGCGAGGGCCAAGCGGGACGGCGGGCCGCCGCCCCCGGGGCCCGGGCAGGCCGAGGAGGGGGCGCGCGAGCCCGGCTGGTGCAAGACCCCGAGCGGCCACATCAAGAGGCCGATGAACGCGTTCATGGTGTGGTCGCAGCACGAACGGCGGAAGATCATGGACCAGTGGCCCGACATGCACAACGCCGAGATCTCCAAGCGCCTGGGCCGCCGCTGGCAGCTGCTGCAGGACTCGGAGAAGATCCCGTTCGTGCGGGAGGCGGAGCGGCTGCGCCTCAAGCACATGGCGGATTACCCGGACTACAAGTACCGGCCGCGCAAAAAGAGCAAGGGGGCGCCCGCCAAGGCGCGGCCCCGCCCCCCCGGTGGCGGCGGTGGCGGCGGTGGCGGCAGCCGGCTCAAGCCCGGGCCGCAGCTGGCCGGCCGCGGGGGCCGCCGAGCGGCTGGAGGGCCTTTGGGGGGCGGGGCGGCAGCGCCCGAGGACGACGATGAAGACGACGACGAGGAGCTGCTGGAAGTGCGCCTGGTGGAGACCCCGGGGCGCGAGCTGTGGAGGATGGTCCCGGCGGGACGGGCCGCCCGAGGACAAGCGGAGCGCGCCCAAGGGCCGTCGGGCGAGGGGGCGGCCGCCACCGCCGCTTCCCCGACACCGTCGGAGGATGAGGAGCCGGAGGAAGAGGAGGAGGAGGCGGCAGCGGCTGAGGAAGGCGAAGAGGAGACGGTGGCGTCGGGGGAGGAGCCGCTGGGCTTTCTGTCCAGGATGCCCCCTGGCCCGGCCGGCCTAGACTGCAGCGCCCTGGATCGCGACCCGGACCTGCCGCCTCCCTCGGGCACGTCGCACTTCGAGTTCCCGGACTACTGCACCCCCGAGGTTACTGAGATGATCGCGGGGGACTGGCGCCCGTCTAGCATCGCCGACCTGGTTTTCACCTACTGAGCCCACCGTCAGCGGGGCGCGCACGCCCCCAAACCAGCTGTTTACATACAGGAATCAGGTATTGGGGCCCCTCGGAGGCCGAGGCTGGCACCCCATCTCCCGCGCAGCCTCCCCCTTCCTGGACGTGCCCATCCCCCCTCAGATCCAGACATGCCCCTCCCCCGCAGACACACCCCAAGGCAGCCCAACCCCCACCCCTTCCCTGACATCCAAGCCCCTCCCCATGTTGCCCCCTCCCGCACAGCCACCAGCAGCCAGCCCCCTCCGATACACCTCCCGTCCTCTCCTACAGACCTGCACCCCTCCCCCCCTTTGCACACGCCCCTCCTCGTGGCCGGAGGACCCGCCCCCTCTCCTGCTCCGGATCCCTCCTCCCTCGCCCAGCCTGCCCGCTCCGGGTTAGGGGGGTGATGCGGCTGGGTGGCAACGCGCGCTCCTCCTGTGCCCCTCCCTTCCCTGGGGGGAGGGGCGCGCTCCTTTTATCCCCGGAGCGCTAGGGCCCGCCCCTCCGCTGGGACCCACCCCCTTCTTGCGCATGCTTAATGCTTCTTGGGAGGAGGGGGCTGGTCCCAGTCTAGCCGCCCTCGTCGCCTGCTTCGGGCAGAAGCGGGGGCGAGTGTAGAGCGATCCTGGGAAATCCTTTGATCCCGGAGCCCTGGGTTTCCTCTCCACCCAACGGGGCGTCGCTGCCTTAATGGGAGGAGCACTCGGAAGGGTTGGTTTGGGCCTGAAACTCTCCCAAGTGGCATAGCCCCTTTTCCCGTATGGGGTCTCCTACACCCACGCGGACCACCTCTCCGACCGCGTGGCTGCCTCTACAGTCTAACCTATATGTCCCTTTCTTTCCCCAACTGGGAATTGGGCGGTAAGGTCTTGCTCTGGAAATCCAACATTAGAGGAAGGGACCACCCAAGAAAACTCAAAACCAAGACACCTAACAGTCTGTTTGGGGACAGGATCCCTGCTGCTTCTCCCCCACCCCCTCCTGGGAAGTGCCCTCTCACCTCAGGGCACCCGAAACCTGGGCTCCTCCCTAAGCCCACCGACCCTTCCTGTCACCCAGGTCCACCCTCAGTACCCACAGCTGCAGTATTCAGCGGGAAAAACTGAGGCACTTTGGTGCTAGCGATTTGGGACGGAGGCGTGGATAGCAGACATGATGGCAGGAAGAGTTCCACTTTTAGACATCTGGCTTGAAAGAGACGATCGACTTGGCCAGTGAGACTGAGAATGGATTGCGAGTAGAGATGGGCCGTTTGCGCCTCTGTTTTTCCACGTGAGAAATGGGGAAAACGCTCTTGTTAGGAGGAAGTTGTGTCCAGTTCAGGGAGCCCTCGGGAGCCCTGTCCCTGATGCTGTGACCCCTCTCACGCTGCCATCTCTCCGCTCAGCCCCGCCCCGACCCTCCGGTCTCCCCACACCCCCCTTGCCCTCACTACCTGTATCTCACCGGCGTGTGTTCACCCTCCGGGTGGCTCACACACTCTCATTCACACACACAAATCTCAGGAACAAACGGTCCCAGAGTCCTCCGGGACCCCTGCCCAGGGTCTCTACAGGTCTCTGCCCCACGCGTTCCCGTCGCTGACAAAGCCACCAGCTGCCTCCTTCAAGCTTGGTGCTCCGGCTCTGGGCCTTTCTTGCGCTCTTTCTCTCTCTCTCTCTCTCTCTCTCTCTCTCTCTCTCTCTCTCTCTCTTTTTAAGAAAAACTACAACAAAAAAAGACAATGAAAAAAAGACGTCATGTGAGTGAAGAGATGTCACTGTCTGTGGTCTTGGAGAACTAGTCTCGTAGCTGAGGGGTGGGGTCCCTCCGTCTGGGGCACTGGCACCCACAGCAGGACTCCGCCAGTCTGATGCCAGGACTGAATAAAGTGTATTTGCCCCGACCTTGCCCTGTGGTTCTGCATGTCTATGCTTTTCCTCAACCCTCCCGAAACAGTTTGCCAGATTCAAGTCCCTGTGATTTGAGCCCCAGCTGGGTGTCCTACGGCAAGCCACCTGGCCTCCCTTGCCTTCTTGAAGGATAGCAAACTCACCCCTGAAGGGACCAGGCAGGAAACATAAACGAGTGACTCTGGGTGGACACTGGTGTCACGACCCACTTCAAGGGGCCCACCTCCTGCCAGTTGTGACCTTGTGGGGATGCAGTCCACAGTGGCCAGGTGGCCAGACTTAAAGAGAAGCTGGATGGATGTTTCTGAGTCATCTTAATTTCAAAAGGAAAGCTGATTCATACTTTTAAATCTCTTGTGAGCCAAATGAAACAAGTATGCAGGCAGGTCTGGTCAGAGGGGGCTGGCTTGACCATGCCTTTCCGTGCCTTTAATGAGGATTAAGCAGCAAGCTTGGGCCACACTGTCTGGACTCAAAGCCCAGCTCCACCACTGAGCACCCGTGTGACTTTTAATTGAGCAAATTAACTAAATCCCAACTCTTCTTTCCATATGTGTAACATGGAGCTAATAATAGTAGCTGCTTCCCAGGGTGAGATGAAATTTGAGGTGAGAAGCATTCAACATGGTGGCCACAAATTGTGTTACTCCATTGTCAGAGGAGACAGGGTCAGGTGGGGAAGCAACTCACAGGAGGGGCTGCAAGCAGCCAGGGTCAGAAACGGGGCTTGGTTCTGCCTCCTGGTGAAGCACGGCTTCGGGGTGCTGCCTCTCCCACCTCGTTTGAATCTACAGATGGTGTTAAGCCCCCAGCTCAGGGCCTGGAGTGGTGGGATTGGTCCCAGTGCCTGGCACACATTGGTCTGCAGAGTAGATTTACTGAAAGACCAAAGAGCACCAGAAGCACAGCGATTCCTGTCTTTGAGGCTCTGACCAATGTTTTACATCTGAGACCAAGGTTTTTCCCTCCTTTGTCCCTCTGACACCCCACCCCCCACCATTCTTCATCTGTCACATCCAGTGCATTCCTAAGCTGGGACAAAGCCTCTGTTTTCCCAGTAAGCCAGGGCTGAGTGTGGAAATTACAGTGACTGCTTCCTCTCAGCCTTTTGGGTTGAAAGCAAGCTAGCAAAAAAAGAAGAAGAAAAAAAAATCCTATGAGAGGAGGTAAAGTTGAGAAGGTGTGGAAGATAGGGCTACCTGTCCCCAGAACTCTCTTCAAAGGAAGACTTCCCCAGCTATGGGAAGTGCCATCACTGGGCGTGGTGGCCATCAGGGTAGGCCCCAGCTGCAGAGAGCCACTTCACCTGAGATCACGCCCTTCCTGCGGCAGCCTGTATCTGGTGTCTGAGTGAGGCATGGTGTGAACACCTGGTCATTTCAGTCCAACATGGGACAGACGCTGACAGGAGGTACTTCCATCAGGCCCACAACAGCCAGGGGTTCATCAGGCCTGCAGCACACTTTGACTTTCTATGCCAGTCCTGCTCCCTCTTCTTTTCACAGGTACTTACTCCTAATAAACATCTTGCAACCCAAACTCAGTCTCAGCGTCTGCTTCTAGAGAAACCCAGTCTTCAACAGAGGGTTCAAGGGACTGGACAAAGGGAATTGGGTCAGTGGCCCAGCAACTGCAGCAAAGCCCCTCGGATGTATCCCAGTCTTGAGAGTCTCTTCACCAATGCCCTCAGCACCACCCTCAGGGCTGGACCCTTTCCTAGTTCTATACACCAGTCACGTCAATTACAGACTCCAGCCTCAGCCCACAGACCCTCCTGGGCCTGCTGCCGATGCCATTCTTGCTCCCAGTCCCTTCCCTGGTAAAAACAGGTTGGAGGCAGGTCATAGTCTGAGTTTGTCTTTCAGAATAGCCTGGAATTGGGGGCACAGTAAAATGTCCGATTGGAGGTAATGTTAGAGCTGTGGGGCCTTGGGCAAGTTTATTCCCCTCTGCAGACCTCATGGGGAGTGGGTATTAGGACTAGAAGAGGGACCATCTCATTTTTGTTCCTTCCATTTCAGATGCTGACCTGAAAGTTGGGGAGACACCTCCTTATGGGGTCTCTGGGGCCACCTAGTGGCTAAGAGGAGTATAACCAAGGTTCTGTGCAGTTGGGAGGTGGGAGTCAGGGTGTGTCCCACGCCAAGGAGCTGATTCCCACGGCAATCTCCCTCCGTTCATACAGTCATTGACTCATCGCTGGGTCATGCCCCTTGCCTAGGTGATGTGAGCCACCCTGGTTCCGAGGCTTTAAAAACACCATACACAGATAAATTGGTTCTGGTCTATCGCTGCGTAACGAATTGCCGAAAGCTTTGCAGGGTAAAACAACATGCATTTGTTATTTCGTGGGTCAGGAGTCCAGGCATGCCTTAGCTGGGTCTCTGCTCAGGATCTCACAAGGCAGCAACTGGGATGTTGGCCTGCATTCCTTCCTGGAGCTCAGCAGCCTTTTCCAAACTCTCATGGTAGTGGGCAGAATTTGGTTCCTTGTGCTTATAGGACAGAGGTAGGTCCCTCTTCTCTTGCTGGCCTGTCAGTTAGTGCCACTCATGATTACTAAGAGCTTCTCACAGTTTCTTGACACATGGCCCCCCTGGGGCCTCCCCAGCCCTCTCACAATATTGCAACTTACTTTGTCAAGGCTAGCGGAGAATTTTTCTGCTGCTTGGAGTCACTTGGCTCAGGGAAGGTTTACGTTCTTTCTTAAAAGCCTCCCCTGCCCGGGCATAGTGTGTTCACGCCTGTAATCCCAGCACGTGGGGATGCCAAGGTGGATGGATCACCTGAAGTTAGCAGTTTGACACCAGCCTGGCCAACATGGGGAAATCATGCCTCTTTCTCATGACCTCTGCAGTATATTGTAGCCTTATAAGAGTGACAGCCATCATACTAGATTTGCCCACACTCAAAGGGAGGAGGCTGACTAGCACAGCTACACCAGAGACTGGGAATCTTGGGGGCCATCTTAGAATTCTGCTTATATCACACACCTGTAATTCCAGCACCTCCCAGAAGTGGAGGTGGGAGGATTTCTTGAGTCCAGTTTGAGACTAGCCTGGGCAACATAGCAAGACCTCATCGCTACTAATTTTTCTTTTAATTAGCCAGAAATGGTGGTGCATGCCTGCAGTCTCAGCTACGTGGGAGGCTGAAGTATCGTAGCTGAGGATCCTCAAGTCTACAGCTCCATCTCGGACTGTGGCTAGATTCCCCGGTCTTCCTGAAGAATAGCAAACTCACCGCTGTAGGGACCAGGCAGATAACATAAATGAATAACTCTGGGTGACAAGAAGATGCCTTCTTGTCATCTCCACTGGGATATCTAATTGGCACCTCAAACTTGGCATGCCAAAAAATGAAGTCTTGTTTCCGCAGCGCTCCCAAGCCTGCTTCTGCAAACCACATCTTCACAGCTGAGGTGAGATGAAAGGCTAAAGCCTCTCATTCATCCTCAATACCTCTTTTCCTCCCAGCGCAATCTCCCTTAGAACCTGTTGGCTCCACCTTCAACATATGCCATGTGTCTTGTCACTTCTCACGTCTTCATGGCCCCCCTCTGGGTCCAGGATCTATCACACCTCGCCTGGCATCCTGTCCCAGCCTCCCTGAAGGGCTCCTTGAATTTTCCTTTGTCCCACTCATCGTCTTCTTGTCCACACAGCAGAGTGGTCCTGCTGGACTATAAATCACACACACCCTGCCTCTGTTCAAACTTCGCCAGTGGCTCTCCTCTCACTCAGTAGAAGCCAGAGTCCTCAGCATGGCCTACAGAGTCCCATGAGAAGTGACCTGTGGCCAAGCCTGGGCCTCACCTCCTACTACTTTTTCCTTCTCTCATGCCCAGTCACGCTGGGCTCTGTCCTGTTCCTCAAAAGTGCCAAGCACACTCCCACTTGAAGGCCTTTGCACATGCTCTTCCCTCTGCTTAAAATACCCTTCCTCTGGCCAGGTGTGGTGGCTCACACTTGTAATCCCAGCACTTTTGGGAGGTCCAGGTGGGTGGATCACCTGAGGTCAGGAGTTGGAGACCAGCCTGGCCAACATGGTGAAACCATGCCTCTACTACATAATACGAAATTAGCTGGGCATGGTGGCATATGCCTATAGTCCCAGTTACTCAGGAGGCTGAGACAGGAGAATCACTTGCACCTGGGAGGCGGAGGCTGCAGTGAGCCGAGATCATGTCACTGCACTCCAGCCTGGACAAGACAAAGTGAGACTCTGTCTAAACAAGCAAACAAACAAACAATACGCTTCCTCCAGATAGCCACGTGTCTTCCTTCCTTCAGGTCTCAGCTCCCAGCCCACTACCTCAAAGTGCCCCGGAGTGGGCACAGTGTCCTCCCTGACCATTCACATAAAGTAACATCTTCCAGAAACCATCCTGTTCCTTTGCTTTATTTTTCTTAATAGCATTTATCACTGTATGGCATTTATCACATGTAGTTTTTATTTTTTGTCTCTCTTCCAATTTATATGTAAGCTTCATGAGGAAGGAATCGGTGAGGGAATGCCTTAGCATATACATTCACCCATTCAACAAACATTATTAAGGGTCTGGGCTAGGCATGGTGGCTCATGCCTGTAATCCCAGCACTATGGGAGGCCGAGATGGGAGGATCACTTGAAGCCAGGAGTTCGAGACCAGCCTGGGCCAGAAAACAAGACCCTGCTACTACAAAATATAATTTAAAAAATTAGCCAGCCTGTAGTCCCAGCTACTCAGGAGGCTGAACCGGGAAGATCCTTTGTGTCCAGGAGTTCAAGGCTGCAGTGAGCCATGGTCACACCACTACACTCCAGCCTGGGTGACAGAGTTAGACCCTGCCTGTTAAAAAAAAAAGAAAGAAAGAAAAGAAAAGAAAAAAAAGGATTGGAGGAAATCTGCCTTGACCTGACCGTGTGCTAGGTGCTGGGCATACAAAAGTGAAAAACGCAGACATAATTTGTCCTCACTGAGCTCACAGGTCTGAGGAGACACATAACCCGGG